TATATATATATATATATATATATATATATATATATATATATATATATATATATATGAAAATACAAATTAGCAGGTGTTAGTAGACTTTACGCTGTTTATTCAACCTCTAAATGATAGAATTTTCAAATAGAATGTAATTAAAATAGGATAAGATTTCACTATCTCCTTATATATATGAGGAATCATTGAGGGACTGGGGATCTTTGCATACCTTCAATATCCAGGTCTGCTCAGGAACTATTTCCATTTGAAGAGTTGCATCTAATTTGTTTCATGGAATTAAAACCTTACCCCTGCCCATCAGCCATGACCTGGAGAAACCCTGATCCATTCTATTTGCAGTCTCCCATACTAGCACATGAAAACTTAAAAGGAACCAGAGAACAATCTAATTAGAGGAAAATGGCCCCTGATATTCCAAGATGAGACTCTGAAGAACTTTTCTCAGAGATTTATCTTTAGGCATGGCTTGTTGGGTGCTGCATGCTGTGGGATTAGTATTTCATATATTATGGATAATTTTTTTTCTGTCCTACATGTACACACACACACACACACACACACTACATTTCTGCATTATTTTTTGCAGTGTTGGGGATCAAACCCAGGGGGTGAGTATGCTAGGCAAGCACCTTATTGCTGAGCTACATCCCTAAGTTTCTAGAAACTCGGGTTTAATTTTTCCAATTGATAATCATACAGAAATGAGAGAAAATCAATACTTCATCTTTGAGTATGAGTAAAAAAGTTATGCAGTTAGTGTTGATGTTTATTAACCACATTGCTTCATTAATTCCAGAAGTAATTGCCAAAATGAAGACTGCTTTAATTTTACTCAGCATTTTGGGAATGGCCTGTGCTTTATCAGTAAGTTATTTATTAAAAACGTGTATCTTTTTCAAGTTTGTCTTTTCATGTATAATAAAGGGAATGTAATAATTAAATGTTCTTTTAAACAGATGAAAAATTTGCATCGAAGGATCAAATTAGAAGATTCTGAAGAAAATGGGGTAATTAACTTAAATATACATCCTCAATCTACACTTACTTTAGATTTATTGCACACTAAATGTAAATATAATATTTATTTTGTTTGTGCAGGTCTTTAAGTTCAGGCCACGATATTACCTTTACAAACACGCCTACTTTTATCCCCCTCTAAAACGATTTCCAGTTCAGGTAAGTATATGAGTTAATTTTCATTTTCATCCCTTGTAATTTAAAGGGGATCAAATTTAATATTGTAACACCTCAATTCGACTCTCAATGAAAGTAAGCCATTTACTACAGAAAGTTTGTTTTTTAACATAATAAAGCTTATCTCCAAGCCTTCTTTTGAAGTGTAGATACGCACACACAGAGTAAAGTCATTTGGGCCCATTTAAGATTGGCACAATAAAACAAACACCTTGGCACATTGAATTAAGGCATTTTGTCTAACATGCTGACAAAAATGGATAATTTTATCAATCATTGACCATTAAGCCAGTGGTAAGTTCACTAATTGTCATTATAGTTGATTCAATATGCGATATAATTGCTTTATAGCTCATAATTGAGTCAATTGGTAGAGAAAAACTTGACTTGATGAACAGCAAAGGCCTTAAAAAATATCTTGATAATCATTGGTAATTGCTGCAGACTTTCTGAATGTTTAACCTGTGGAGGTGACCAGGATCATATATGGTACTTTGGAGCATGATTATAATGGAAGCGTTTGCCTAAGAACTGCAGAGGAAAGAGAGAAATTCATGAAGTGCAGTAAAAACCTTGTGAAAAAAACAAAATATCCCTAAAATTTGTAAACAAAAATGAAAAATAAATAAAACTAAAAATAAGGGTTTCCATTTTAGCTGGGTTACCTGTGAAAGGGCCTTTGAAAACTGGTGGGTGTGGTGTTGATTTTAAATATGCAACAAACCACAATTGCACTATTTTTATTACTATGAAGTTTGGGTTCAGAGCACCAATTTTGTGCCATTTAACCCAAGACTCCTGGGACACTAACAGCAGTTAGGATGCTAAAACGATGGGTCAGCACAGTGGCTTGGCATTGCATCTTACCATGTGTTGGGTTAACCCATCTCCAACTCATACAATGGCAGGAAATGATCATCTTAAAGTATTTCTAGCACCATCATAATTATGTGGAATTTGTGTGGCCACAGAAATATGAACATAAATGATACAAGAGTTGTGGGTTTTCAGAATTGTCTTCCATTCTTTGGTTCACCTCAGGCCCAGAAACAAACAGTGCCCATTTGGAAGTTTATTCTCTTTCTGAAACTAAATAAAAACAATAAATTCAAGTTTCTGACTAGTTCCTCAACTTTTCTGAAGTATGTGATAGTTAGATATATGTGTTCTTACCTGGATATTTTTATAAATATAGTTGTGTGGTCCAACTCAAATGTCCATAGTGAAATGATATTGGAGAAAGTTACAGTTTTCATTCTTGATAGACCCCAAACTATAGATCTTAACATATAAATTTTTCTCAAATTATATGCAGATAGGTCTGGCTCATCTATTGTAGAACTGTAAGATAGCTGCTTCAAAATAAACAATATATTTCTCACTCTGTCTGACCTAGTATTTATGACTTATTCTACTATATATAGTTTGTTTTCATTTAAGTATATTAAGGTAGGTAGGCATTTAATGTACAAAATTGTTACCCTAGAATGCACTAACCTGTATCGGCTTTGAAATTCAGGTTTATTCAAATAAATATGTGTTGATATGCAATCATTTCTAAAATACCAACTTACATGAAATATATCATTTAGATTACAAAACCATCCGCAGTGTATTATAGCTTACATAATTGTCAGGCTATATTTATAGAAGTATAAATAAGCTTCCTATCCTAAGCTGCTTCAATTGAAAAAAATATTTTTATGATTCAAATGGTATTTGATTAATGTGTGAACTTTTAGGTGGCAAGAAGTTCATTTCATTTTTATCCGATTTAGCTAAGATGGAAGTATTGTAGGTTTTCAGAATTCTTTCATTAAAGATGACTTTCATATACCTGTATATCCTTCACATATCTATGTAAATACATGAAATACTTCTGAAAGAATCAGTAGGACCTAGTGACAAATTAGAAATGAGGCATAAATGAAAGAAAAGGAAAAAAGCAAATGTCAAAGCTTCAAGGCACTCCAAATAGCTTTTAAGTTGTTCTCACTGCAGAGACTAATTGAAGAGTGATTGATGTTAAGGTAGGGAAAAAGCTAGAGGCAAGAAAGCCTGTAAAATGGCTGAAACACTCCAACTGAGAAAAACAGCTCTTATTGTGTAAATATACTGTCCTCTATATTTAATTTAACTAAATAGAAATAGTTTAAATATAATAATAAACTGTATTCACTATCTGGGCTGGGAAAGGCACGACCTTTAAGGTCATGGCAGTGGAAGGGCAGGTCTAATTATTCTCTTATCCACCTGAAGTTATTCTTGTCTCAGAGGGACAAGCATTTCCTTTCCTTGGATGGATGAATGGATGTCTGAAGAATGAGGTCAGCAGGAACAGCCCTAAGTGGGACAAAGGCATGAGTGTTTTCTGTCATCTGATTTCTAACCAGACGTTAGAGGTCCTTCTGCCTTCATATTCTAAGTTCAGGATATTTAACTGAGTCATCAGAATCAAAGATAAAATTTTCAGGGCAGGAAATGACAGAATCTGAATCCAGGTATTTTTGTGATAACTGGTGCCAGTAAAGGTAGCTATAGAAAAGGAAGAAAATTCAGTTGGGGTTATCTTTGGTTGAAAGGTGGAAAATATCCTCTACTATTTTGAAGGTTCTGACAACAAACATTTAGATTTAGATTTCCTCTCAAAAGATAGTCAAGTTTGGGATTGGATATGTTTCAGTGTTTGAATAACTGGGTAAGGCCCCTGAGTTGGTCCCCAACATCACACATAATACACACTGAAGTGAAACTCATTTAACTTGTATTTTTATATATAGAATCCTTGGTTTAATTTAACCTCATTTAATACTAAGGTTATCAGAGGGATGATACTCAATGAGTAAACGAATACATTTTTCTCTTATACTTTTATCTCCCATATATAACTTTATTTTAAAAAATTAAAAATTAGCTTTAATTAAATTGTGTAGATTTAATATTTAAAATCAAACTATAATTTAAATTCACCAAGAGAGCTCATCATTTAAGAGAATCATTTAATAACAACTTATATTTTATAAAAGCTGAATTATCATTTCATTTATATTTTTTAAAAAATTACAATCTGTCTTAGTCCAAAATCTTCCTTAATAGATTGGGGGAAGTTATAGATTTTGGGGGCTTCTGACTCTTTCTTTATAAAGTTTTAAAAATTGGGACTAATAATTCCTTAATTCTTTCAGAATTAAACAATTCAATGATTTGTTGTTACAGTTTTTATATACAACATATTTTGACATATTGTCAATGCTTTGAGGACTGAAAATGGGGTATTCCACATCTTTTTTTTATTTCACATCTTGATCATTATAAATACCTCTTTGTTTTACCTTTTATAATACCTCTTTGTTTTTAGCCTTATTTTATTTCTAATCCAATGTCCTAATATCTTTCTCACAAGCACATGAAACCTGTTCTAAGTAAATAAACCAATCAGGCTGGTAATACTAATCAGTTTACGTAACTATTTATGTGTGTTTTATTTTATTTCAATCAGCAGAAAATTTTAATTGTTGTGAATATATTTGTAAACACATTATATATATGTAATATGTATATAATCTATACATTTTAGGGAAGTAGTGACTCTTCTGAAGAAAATGGAGATGGTGATAGTTCAGATGAGGAGGAGGAAGAGGAGGTAAGAAACTTTTCAATCTTTTCACAAAACATCAGGCAACACACACACACACACACACACACACAAACAAACAAATAGGAAACTGGTTTACTGTAATTCAGACTTAGCAAATAGCCATCACCACTTTACCAACTGCCCACATCTCCTATTTTGGACAAGTGAAATGTTATTTAATTAGCACCAACTAAAATAACCTGTTTAAAACACTGTTGCAGTTTGGGGTTAAAGCTACCTGTAAGTGGTACACAAAAACAAAATTGTCTCCATTTTCAGTGGAAAAAGTATAAAATCTGTTAAAAAGAAACAGAAATTAGTATTTACATTCAGGTGAATAAAGCATGATGGTTCAAGACAAGAAAATAATTCTACACTCAGTGCAATGTTTGTTTTAAGGAATAAACTTCAGAAATTCAGTTTCCTAGGTGTGTGGCATGTAAAAGCCAATTCTTTAAGAGTGGTATTGTGACTCATCTGCCTTTCATAATGGACAGAATAGGACTTTTTTTTAAGTGTAATTTCACATTTTTTCCCTAGTAACAAAATTCATGTTCTTATGGAAATGAAAATAATCAAGATGAACAAATATCTTCCTATATAGTTCTATGAATTAGTATAGACCATGGCTAAAATTCATCTACATGCCTCGGAAATTGTGGCATCATATTTATAACAGAAACTAAGGAAACATACAAATTAGGCTGCACTTTCCTGGATAGTCAATTATAGTTGTCCAGGAGTTTGGGAACCTTCTAAATTCAGGGATTCTTAGGTGGCTTTTATGAATAGACAATGACTGTCAAAAATGGATCTTGTATAAGTGCCGAAGACAAAATGGTGTGGGAACTTGAAAAGGGGCAAATCATTAGTTTGGTTTTAGTTTTTTAAGTAACATTCCCTGTACCATAATTACACTAATAGCTTGAAAGTAGAGTTTACAGGAATGCCAAAGCAGTACCAGGAAAATACCACCTACTAAATCCCACAAAATTTTGCCTTGAGTTCCATAAGCAATCTTTATAAGAACTGAGCTAGCGTTATGCATTTAACTTCATTTACTTGATGTTCAGTGATTGTAAAACTACCTTTACACTAGACTTCTCAGATTGCACACATTTTAGCAGTGATTCTTCATTTGTTGTGCTGATGGTTGAGGACAGAGAAAGAAAGATTAGGTGTCCTTTGGAGATCTGATGAACCCATGCACAGTCAACATTTTGTCAACCACCTCTGAATATTTGTGATCCTTCCAGATCTTATCCACCAAACCATCTTGACTCGGTGGCCCTTAGACTAGAATAAGGCTTGGGTGAAGACCTATGCTGTGCCTTCTTTTGTATCTCCTCATACTACCATAGTTTCATAAATATATGGTGCCCAGTAAATATTTGATAGTTTAGATTTGAAACTTAAGAGGAATAAGTGCTCCGAAGATCATTCTTTAAAAATAATAATGGAAAAGTGTGTGAATAAATATAACTGGGAATCTTCCATCCTGAAGAGAATGGAAAATGCTTTTTTGCTCATTTCTTACCTCAAATTTCATCAGCAATTTAGATTAAATATAGCCCCCAGGAATTATATTCACACGAGAAAAGAGGAAAGTACTTGGGCACATGTTCTCTCACATGAGAGAGAGGCGGGTGGAGAGGGAGAGAGACAGGGAAGAAGAGAGAGAGGGAGCGCAAGCGCTATCTTCCAGCTACAATAATTATTCTAACTATGTATATTTTCACTAGGAGACTTCCAATGAAGAAGAAAATAATGAAGATTCTAATGGAAATGAAGATGAGGAATCTGAGGCTGAGAACACCACACTTTCTGCTACAACACCTGGCTATGGGGAAGAGGTTACACCTGGAACAGGGAACATGGGCTTAGCTGCAATCCAGCTTCCAAAGAAGGTAATAATTCTTCCCAATTGTTAAGTCTGCTATTATGTTTTTGCTGCAATCTAAGGTTAGCCTAACACTACACACACAATGTTTTATGCTATCTTTGTTCACTCACTGAAGAATCAAGGACAAATAAAATTTCCTTTTGTACAAATAAGGAAAGATCTTCTCCCAGGCAAATTCTGCTGGTGTTATTACACTGCTCCTTTTACATTATAAAGAAAGATTAAGGATAAGCATCAAAAAATGGATAAAAATCCTGAGAGGTGCCATTGAATTCCAGAGGAGGGTATTCCAAGACAGAAAGTGAATAGCAAAGCTTTTGGAAATATCTCCCCAAGAGAAGGCCTGTGAGGAACATTTTGTCCTTACGAAACCATCACAAAGCTACTTATTTTGAATTTTTAAAGTCCCCTCCAATTCGTTTGTAAGTTAAATTGGGCCTCAATTAAAAAATGTCATCTGTTCCAAGACTGTCAGAACAGAATATTGTGTTGGATGAAGGCATGGACTTACCTTTAAAATTTTTACAGCTATATTTGGATTCTTTCAAACCTTTCCTTTCAGGTTGGGGATATAGGAAACAAAGCTACAAAGAAGAAGGAAAGTGATGAAGAAGAGGAGGAAGAAGAAGAAAATGAAGAAAACGAAGCAGAAGTGGATGAAAATGAGCAGGGCATAAATGGAACCAGCACCAACAGCACAGAGGTAGAAAATGGCAACGGCAGCAGTGGGGGAGACAACAGGGAAGAAGAAGGTGGGCAAGAAAGTGTCACCAGAGCCAATGCCAGAGGAACCACACAGCAGAACAATGGCGGCTACAAGACAACAACACCTCAAAATGGTGGGTTTCAACCCACAACCCCACCACCAGAGGTCTATGGGACCACCTCCCCGCCATTTGGAAGAACCACCACTGTTGAATATGAGGGGGAGTATGAGCAAATGGGCACCAATGAATATGGCAGTGACTATGAAGTCTATGACAATGAGAATGGTGAGCCTCGTGGGGACAACTACAGAGCCTACGAGGATGAGTACAGCTACTATAAGGGGCAGGGTTATGGTGGCTATGATAGTCAGAATTACTATTACCATCAGTAAAGGCTCAGCCTGGGATGAATTCATCCATTTTCACTCTGCATCTGGCTGCCATTTTTAAAGTTCAACTCAGGACGGTGCTATGTAACAAATGTGCATCTTACAATGTGGAATGGTAATACAGTTCCCAAGTGATTTTCTGTAATTGCTTCTCTGAGGAATGGGTTTCTCGTTGCTTTTCTCTGATGTTACTGAAAGGTTGTTATAAATCAAAGCCATTTATCAAGCAGTACACCAATCCATGAGATGGAATTAGATGGAATGTTTTGAGGATGTAGCCCTATACATACTGTTTGTAACCTGTTTGCACTATTGCTAACTGCCTAAATATATTCTTTGTACAAGAAGTAGCTTCTAAGAAGGGATCCATTGAGATTAATGGCACTGTATTCAATAAATGTGTAGTTCTTAATCACACTACCTAACACTGTATATTAACTTCAAATATCATTCTCATGTACTTTTTATGTGATCTATATGTATATTCTATGAGTTTTATCACAAATAAAATGCAATCCTTAAAGTATGTTGTAATGCAGAAGAAAAATGAGGGATTCAGAATGCATAAAGATTAAATAAGGAACAATTCAGCTAAAGGAGGAAAGTTTATTTCCAATATGGTTTAAAACTAGAAGGAACTTTAAACATTTAAATAAATTGGCATAACTAAAATTTCACCATGCTTGTGGGCAGGGTCAGCGATAGGCATTAGGTTAATGAATGACTTTTCTTAGGGTTGCCAGATTTAACAAATATAAATATAGAATGTCTAGTTAAATTTGAACAATAAATAGATAAACAATGAATAATTTTTAGTATGAGTATGTCCTACAAATATTTAGCCTCTGTGAAATATTTGGGATATACTTAAACTAAATAAATGATTCACTATCGAATATTCAACTTTGGTTATCATGTGTTTTTTTCTGGCAACCTTAACCTTGCACTATTTGATTTTATCTGGGATAGGAGGTGGATAGGGGAAAATTTTTAAACACATGGACACAGACACACACACACACACACACACACACACACACAGCTGATGTACAAAGGCTTAGCAGTAATTTACACCTTTAACATAAGCCTGAAAGCAAATTTCAAATGTGTGTAGTAAAAAAAAGAAATAGTCTGAAGAAGTAAAAAGAACAATAATTAACTCACCTTTAATTTATTCAATACAAGATGTAAGGACTTCTATAGAGTCCAGACAGTGTTTAGACATTGAAACACACACACACACACACACATAAATAAAGAACTTTATCCTCAGAGTGACTTCAGTTTGATAGCTACCAGTGTTAATGTGTTACATGCATCACCTACTCATTTCCTCTAACATTATTTTGAGAAATATGAGGCATTTGGAAAAGTTGGGAGAATAGTCAGTACATAAGCATCATTATTCTACCTTTCACTTAGACTACGAGTGGTTAATGCTTTGTCACCTCTGTGTTCTGCATTCTTTGTACCTCATTGTGTGTAGTTTATGTGTACACATCTTTGCCAAACCATCAAAGAAGGGGTTGCAGATGTTATGATGCTTTATCCCTAAATACTTCAGAATTTGGTGTAAGAACAAAGAATTCTCCAACATAGCCACAATACCATTTTCATTCTCATTCTCAAGAAACTTAACCTAGACACATATATGTACTATAAATTTAGCTAGACATTCAAATTTAACTAGACATTCTATATTTATTATATTTGTTATTGTATATATACACACACATATATGGAGATTTATACTATATAAATCCAAATTTAACTAGATAGCCTGTATTTATATTTGTTAAATCTGGCAACTCTGAAAATATATATTCATATATAAAATATATATACTTAAGAACACACATATATGATACTATATATTATACTTATATAATTATATATTATAATATAATACATTATGGCAATTATAAAATATATCATAATTACATATGATTTTTTTTAAAGAGAGAGAGAGAATTTTTTTTAATATTTATTTTTTAGTTTTCAGTGGACACAACATCTTTATTTATTTTTTTATTTTTATGTGGTGCTGAGGATCGAACCCAGTGCCCCGTGCATGCCAGGGGAGTACGCTACCGCTTGAGCCACATCCCCAGCCCATGATATATTTTATTATATATCAGTACATATGACAATTATATATGATATCACTATATTATGTATTATATATTATACAATAATATATGAATATAATATAATCATTTAACCAAATATAATATTTACATAAAATTATATATAATAATATTTTAGATTATATTATTATGTCATCTTATTATATACCACAATTATATTATATATTTTATAATAATTATAATATATATTTTATATTATTATATGTAATATATCATAATGATATCTGATGCCGTATATCATATACTATTACATAATATGTACTATATAAACATCATATAGTATGTTATAATATGTAATATTATATATTAGATTATATTCATGCATTTTTTTGATGCTAGGGATTGAACTCAGGGTCACCTCACCACTGAGCTACATCCCCAGTCATTTTTAATTTTTATTTTCAGACAGGGCCTCTCTAAATTGCTGAAAGTCTTGCTAAGTTGCTGAGACTAACCTCGACTTGCAGTCTTCTTGCATCAGTATCGTGAGTTTCTGGGATTATAGGTGTGCACCACCACAACTGGCAATACTTTAAAATATGCACTGCATATTCAAAATTTTCCAATTACCCCAATACTGCCTCCTATTATAAACTCATTTAATTTTCACAAAAGTCTATCAGGTAGGTATTATTATCATAATCAATTTTACTGATGAAAAGACTGGGACACAAAGAGATCACATATAGTCAAGCTAGGGTTAAACAGGCGCAGACTGGCTTGGCACCTCCTGTGTTCTGTACCACCATGCAATGCACATTTGTATGCATTCATCAGCAATGGATGAGCAGGAAATCACTAATGATGAGAACATTACTGGAAAATGGGCTTTGTCTTACATCACAATTTTCTCAAAAATCAACCATATTTTATGACATGAATCCTAAAGGACATTTTCATATCTAGGATCTTCTCCAATTTTTGGTGTATCTTTCTGTACAGGAAGCTTGTTATAGTGCACCTGCTCTGGAATCAGATGGGCTTGAATAATGGTCTTATCAACAGAAAATGAATTTCCTTCTCTAGTCTTTATTCCCTCATCTCCTATGTGAGGATGGTCTTCAGTGGACCGCTCTTCAGGGTCTGACCTGTCATGAGGAACTCAGCATCAGCACACAGGTCCTTTTTTCCCCCTCTCCCTTTCCTTGCTCCCTCTTAACAGTTAAGTATATTGTAATAAAATCATCCAGGAATTAAAAGAGTGGTTTTGGAAATTGAAGAACTCTTTTTTCTTGCCCTAGTATATCTTTTTAGAGTGAAAGATTGTTATTAGATTGAGGGCTTGGGACCAGTGTGATCAATACTATTTGTTAGATTACATATCTTATCATCTCTAGCTATCTCAATATATCATGGAATCATCAAGTCAGGTTGTGAAAGATCTTTAAACTTTATGAAGTGTATTTACTTTTTAATATTCAGAAGTTATTCATTTTACATTGTAAAAGCTGTCAAGTTCTTTGTTTCTTTTGTAGCTTTTGGCCTATGAAATGTGGGTTTGCTCTCTTTACTATACCACCTAAAGGATTTGAGCAAGCTCATTTCTGTCCTCAAGTGCAGAATGCTTCCCTCTGAGACTTCAAGATTCTAGATTATAGTGTATAGGCTATGTAGATTATAGTCTCCAATAATCTGGTAGGTTTTTTGAGGAAAACTGGTAAATTACACACTTGGAATAACCAACAGTAGCAGAGGAGCTTTCCATGCCTTCACCAGACATCAGTACCAGTTGGCAGTCAGTGAGGCCCATGGATACTAGTCACTCAGGGCATAGATGAAGGCAATATAAAGTTCCTAAGGAAGAAAGGGATGGGCTATCGAGGGCTGTAATGTGATCCACCTTCATGGATTCCAGCTTTGACCTTTTTGTTGGTTTTCTCAGCCAAATTACAGAATACCTGCAGTATGGCAGCCCTGCTCCCGTTGAAATATTTTTTCCTACCTAGGACCCTAGGTTTCAATTTCAACCTCCTGCTGCTTTCCTAGCTAACTAGCCTCCTGGCCTCATCCCCTTTGACCTTCTCTCACAATAGCTCTATTTCCTGTATTCTCTGACAATATTTCTTGATGGTCCAGCTGGGAGAAACCAGATGAGAATTCCAATTATTAGAGGAGAAAGAAAAATGATTGTATTCTGCCGAGGGAATGATACTTCTTCCTTTGAGAATGAATCAAATGATTCCTTTAAATGGAGAAAAGATAAATTGAAACAAGCCATGCTCATATTTGGAGGGAACATGAAATCCAATATTTGTACCCTGCTATTCATAGAAAATTCTTTTGCGATTGTTCAAACAGAAGCCATTCTGCAGCTGTGGCAGAGTCCTAGATACATATAAATATCCATTCTCCATTCTTCCTCTCTCATAGGTAATAGAATATTCCCTGTCTTTTAAAGAGCTGGGCATGTGGCTTTCACTTTCCTGGATCATTAGATATAAATAATTTTATTTAAGCTTTGTGCATATATACTTGTGAGGCATGCATGTATACATGTTAGCCTCGCTGACTGCCCACTTGTACTGGTGTAATGAAAATTTTCTCTGCTACTGTTGGTTACTTCAACTGCATGCATTACCAGTTTTCTCCTAAAAACCTACCAGATTATGGGTTGTGTCTCTAAAAAGAAAGACTATTCCCCTTTCCCTCACCCCAATTTCCCTATCCTACTGGCTGGAATTCAACCATGATGGAGAGCCACCTCTGATGGTGTACATGAAGGCAGTAGTTTAGGATAGCAGGTGACAAGCTGGAGAATAGTCTGACTCCAAGGAGTGCCACATCTGTCCTGTATACCAATGTATAAAAACAAACTTCTATCTTCTTTAAGTCACTGTTGTCATAGGTCTCTGTTAGTTATAAACAACTTGTGTTCTAACTCACAAGTGCCCTAGTTGCAGTCCTCAGATCAGCAGCATTGGCATCATCTGAAAACTTGTTAGAAATGCAAATTCTGGAGCTCCAGTCAAGACCCAGAGGTGGCCAGTAGTTCCAATGCCCTTCCAGGTGATGACCACTGTTTTTACTGATGTAATAGCTACTGCTTATTATACCCTTACCACATGTGTTTGCTATTTCTAGCATTTTACATATGTTGCCTCATTCACAGCTCTATTATTACTGAAAGTCGACTGTTTTCCAGGCAAGGGAAGGAAATAACAGAGATATTCCATTTTCTTTAAATGATCCAGTTGGAAAGTGGAAGAGAAGAGACTGACCCAGGATT